GAGCAATTGCATTGTGCATCACTTGCTTTGTATATTCTTTTATCATTATTATTATTATTATTACTACTACTACTATTACTACTACTACTATTTTATTTTATTTCAATTATTAAACTGTTCTTATCTCAACAGACGAGTTTTCTCACTTTTACTCTTCCAGTTCTCTCCCCCATCCCACTGGGCGGGGGGGAGAGAGTGAGCGAGCGGCTGAGCGGTGCTCAGTTGCCGTCTGGGGTTAAACCACGACACTTACTTTCATTGGCCAGCACCTTGTACAAAAAAACAAAATATGTTTGTGAAGAGGAGGGGGAACCTGGGTTAAGAGATCTTCCCCAGGGCCTGCCTTTAGCAGGTGGCAGCCCACATGAAGCAGGACAGCAAGCCTCCAGCCTTCTGGCCTACCTGAACACTTTCTTGGACAACTTAGGGGATGACTCAGATTGTCAAGTGCCATGCATTTGATTTCTGGTAAGAGCCCAATTACTATCCAGGACAAAATGTCTGTGTTCTCCGCAGAAACCCGAAGTAAAGAATAAGCCCACACAGCTGCTCCAAGGCTGCGAGGCCCTTTGCTCTTTTAGCAATTCTTGAAGACATCTGGCAGAGGAGATGCTCTCTCCCACACCAGCCTGGAACACTCTGAAGCAAGAAATGTTGGCAACATCAAGAGTTGCCTTGCAGCTATGGCCCAGCAACGTCCTACAAGCTAGACATATTCCTTTGCCCACAGTGTACGGCTTTAAACAACATGGGTCAAAGAGGACTATAGCCTGCTCTGGCCTCCTGGGCAGTTTCCAAACCAAGACAGGGGCTGTGTGAGCAAGCACTCTTGATTAATGGCCCAGGCAGCTAAAAGGCAACTGGCATCTATCCCCCCCAACTGAGCCAGCTCCTTAAAAAATGTCCCGGAGACCAATTTTTCCCCTAAGAAAACAAAAAGGGAGACTGCACTGCCAACCTGGGATGGCTTCTGCGTATGTCTCAATAAATGCCGCATTGTCGTCTCAAGAAAGATTGGGATTAGACAGATCAGGGCTTGGCAGAAGGTGGGCAGAGGGCCTCTGTTTGACTTTGGCTATCTGTCTCCAAGATGTGACCATACTGGACTCTCCCACAGTGTTCCTGTATGCTCATAGACCAGGCTAGACCCATCATGGCCCAGAAGCAAGACAGTTCTGGCAGAGGTGCAAGGGACTTTGCACCAGCTTGTCCCTTTGCAACCTACTGCCATTGCATTCCAGAGTCTGCAGATCATCTCTGCTGCAGAGCATGTTAGGAGGGATGGCGGGAGGGAGAAACCGTTGACGCTGCCTTCATCGGGCAGCCCTAGGAGATACGCACTGTAGGATGTGGCAGCTCTGGGAGGTGTGCTGCTGGTGATGGGGTCCCATACAGCACCCCAGGGAGCACTGTGAACACCAGAGAGAGCCTGTGGCTCTCCATGTGGCATTTTATCTTGCTACTTTCCCAGCATGTGTGGGGTGTGCTGTAAGACCTGGACAGTCTGGACAGTCAGGAGACCTGGCCACAAAAGTATCCCTTCAGCAATGTGGTTTTAGTGCAGCTTGAGCAGCGGAGGACAAAAAGTGATAGGATCTGCATGTGTGGAGCTGAATTTCCCTAGCTCTGCTGCATAAAGCTTGAGTAACATTACTAGTTCTTTTTTTCTTGGGTTAGGAGCTGCCAAACATCTTTATTTTACTAGTGCTATTAAGGTTGCTGGTTTTCCCCAGCCCTGCAGATCCCATAGATACAATACCACAGGTCAGATGTGTTCACTGAAGGGATCTGCATTTTCGGTTAAGAGGATCATGTATTTGTCCTCTATTCATCAGGTAGGATTAGGAAGGCTGAAGTAAAAAAGTTTTCTGATTGAGCAGAACTGAAAGGCAGAATTGGAGTTGTGCAGGACCATTGCCTTAGGATTCATCTGAGGGTTAGTTTTTAGTTTCACTTTCATCTTTCTTCTTACACTCCTGCAAAATAGAAACCAGCAACCCTCCTAGAGGTATTCCCCTCTGTCATTGGCAAATTTGAAATGCTGGGGTAAAAAATTGTCGGAAATACTGCTTTCAGCCAGACCTCACCGTGCTTATGCTGAAGCAGTCTATTCCATGACTGCACAAACTCTTGTTGACTGTTCTGTTAGTATAGATCAGCTTTGCTGTCACCTCATGACTCCAGTCTGTCTGGGTGCTGTGGTTCAGGTGATCAAACTGAACTTCAGCTGGAGGATGACTCAGAAACCAGTCCATGTATTTGCGTATCTTACAGCTGAGAGTCCAGGCAGGGGCGGGTCTTACAAGGAATTGAAACCAAGTTGTGAGAACTCCAAGTTTTGTGTCTTTCCCTAGCCTTAGCTGCAATACTCCTTTCTGACAAGGCAAGGTACTCCCAAAGCAATGTCTGGGGTTAGAGGATGGATGGAAGACAGAAGGTACAGGACGGCTGCTGCCTCCGGTACCCCGTTTTCCTCTCAGGGTTACCTCTGGGATGGCAACAGTAAGACAGAGGAGGCTGAAAACCGTCAGAAGCTGACAACATCTGAAGAGGAGCAAAGCGGCCAAGCATCAGTCTATCAACAACAGCAAGAGCAGCAGTAAGTAGCAAGGAGCCTGGCTGAGATGGTGGTGTGTGTAGCGGGTGCCTGTTCTCCACCTTACTCAAGGTGTGCACCTTTGAAGGCAGAAATACTTTATAGAGGGACTGGGCACACCAGCAGCTTGTCCTCATCCTTTCAGAGCCACCTGTGGTCAGCCTGAAGCCTACCTATGAATGACACTTCTTACATGGGACCTGAGTTGTTCTGGCTGGCTTCGTGATGGCATGGCTTACACCTCATGCAACAGCAGTAGCCGGTTCTGTACATTTGATATTGCCGTACGTAGTGTCGGTTTCTTGGCATCTTTTTTCAAAGTGAAACTTCAAATCTGGTTCTAGCTCCCTGTTTTCTATCTCCTAATATTTCATCTTGGAAAGTCTAAAAATACTTCCTTTGGCTTAAGAGATGGATATAGGCTGCATTCCAGCACTGATCTGAATGCAGTCCAGGACACAGAACAGCTTCTAGCAACTTCATGCTGACAAAAGTAAAGCCAAAGCTTCAGCCCTCAATTTTATTTTAGGCTTTATTGGGATCTATGCTCAGTCCATCTCTGATTTTCCAGTGGCAATTATACAAGATAGCTTGTATAAGCTCTAGCTTGCAGATATAATACAGAATAGAAATGGACAGTAGTGTGTATGTATTTTATGGACATGTACTTAACACATTTATGCTTAGCTGACCAGAAGTAATTGTTTATAGTTTTTTTCCCCAAAATGTGCTTTTTCTGAGCTGTTAGTAACAGTGCATGTAATGCTATTATTATTATGTGCTGAGTTTGCTTAGTTTGCCTTTTTTTTCCCCTCCTTTCAAAGTGCCGCTGACAGAAACTGAAGGCTGTTTCAGTTTCCTTTCCCATCTTTCTGGATGAAGAAGGTGGAGCCACGCTGTGGAAGAGGTGGCAGGCTGCTGATCACAAGCAGCAGTCAGCAGCTTTCCATCGTAACCCAGGAATGCTTGCCTGCTAGGTAGTAATGATGCAGGGACTTATTAAGAGCTGGGTAGCTTTGAAATCCGTCAGCGCTTTAATGACTGACTTTCAGGAGAGCAACCAACCGTTCCTGAGTTACAGTCTATGTTTATTTTCTGCCACTTCCAAACATGAAAGACCCTCTGTCTTGCCTGCCCTGACATTGGCATATATCCACAGTACAGTGCGAGCAGCCCTAGTTAGCTTACATATTTGTGCTACGTGCATTTTTTTGCCTTTTCTTTGGGGGGGGGGTGGATAGTGGGAGTTTTCCCATTGGTATAACTGTCTTTGTCCAGATTTAGTCTGGGATACAAACTCCCTGGTATAGGTTAGGTAAATACTGAATCAGTTGGTTAGCCTGAGCTCCCCGCAGAATTTAAGGCTAGAGCAAATATATTCACACAGATTCTGACCGGACGATGGGATCCCCACTAAAACTAGGTAAGCTTTTGGGGAAGAATAATTTAAAACCCTGTTCCCTTTTTCATCTTTATATGATGCTTGCAGAGAGAAAACTGTTGTGCATCTACTGCAAGGACTGTGTGTGCGCTTAGTATTTTTTGCTATGTGATACGAAAGATTCTTTCTGTGTCTTCATAAAACTGTAACAAAGAATTCATTCCTAAACCTGGAGTGTACGAATTGAAGTCTGCATTAGTATGTAGTTAGTGAGAAGAAGGAATGAGGGAAAGGCAGGTTCAAAGAGAAAGCACGTAATATGGGTGGGAAACAAATAAAAAAAGAAGTGAACAAGACTGGAGTTTGCTCCCTTCCCTCGAGGAGGGGGATGCTAGCAGTCAGTTTGAAGGAGATGAAGATGCTTAAACTGCAATTTCCTCAACTAATCCAGATTAAAGTGGTAGATGGTATCCGAAATACTGAAGCAGACAAGGGGAGATCTTTATTCTTAAAACAAAAATTAGCTAATTCATTCATTGTTATTATCTTTGTTCTGTTATCTCAAGTTATGTTTCAAGAACGATCTCAGATTAAAATATCATTTTAGCAGTGATAAAGCTGACTCAGCCTTTTAGCCATCAATCCTTTTGAACATGATCTTTAAAACTAAAATATTAGGACACCCTCAGAATAGTCCAGGTTTTCAGGCTCTAGGATAACCAAGGATTGAACAGAGCAGAGAGCTGAAGTCATAGGCTGTCAGTAGAAGAAAAAATGCACAGACTAGCATTAACCTACAAGGCTTTCAGGAATATGTGTAGCAGAGGGAACACGAGGGGCCCAAGTAGCATACCTCTGTGCCAAGGAGTGGCTCTATTCCAGCTTGTGTGCTGCTTGCTATTTTCTGGAAACAGCCAGGATATGGTTTTGCTGCCAGCAAAGCAGGAATTGGAGTCTCTGTTGAAGCTTCTGTGCGCGTGTGTTGTTTCCATGCAAACTCTCAGTCTCAGGCTGTGCTTCAGAGCAATTGGGAGTGGGAAAACACCTTAGCAGCATCTTAGGGTGAGATCAGGTGGCCTTTCGTATAGACTGGACACATGAAATATGTGTGGGTCATGGCATGTTGTAGTTTCATCCACTAGTTGGTATTCAAACGTGACTATTAAAAAGTACAAGGTGGGCAACTGGTGTTAGAGGGTAATTTTTCTCTTGCTTTGGAAGAGCCCTTATATGATATGTGAGGCTGAGAAGTGATAATAAAATGGTCCTAATTGAGTTAAGAATACTACTTGTTCAAATGCAAAATTGAAATGAAACTTTGCACATCCCCCTCCAGTTATATATAGGATGTGATTACAGGCCATGAAGAAAAAATCACGAGGATGACAAGTGCTTGAAACTGCTTATAATAATAAGCTTGCATTTAAGTTACTTCACTTTGTCTGCTAGGTGCCATGAAATTAACTTGTAGAAAGTGAATTCCCAAATTGCCCCTGTTCATGTCTATTCAGAAACAAAAGTCTGTACAGAAGAAAAGGTGGAGGAAAGTGGGGAAATTAGAGGCTGAACTAGATAGCTAGTGCCTGAAAAAGAAAATGCTGCCCCCAGTCAGCAGTCTGTCCTTGGCGCCTTTAAAGCTGGCAAGAATAATATCGGTTCTGGTAAAATCCATTAAAAAAATCAAATTCAAAATAATAAAATCTGAAGATGTATTGTAGCACAGCTGGTAACAGTCCCTCATCGTTTTGTGTGAAAGGAGAGCAGAGTTACTAGAATGCTTGGCTCGTGAAATTGTATTCTTTGACTGCCGGAGCCAAATCCATCAGGGCTTTCTTTCCTTCCTTTTTCAATCTTCATCCTGAATTAAAAGAAAAAAAATATGTCTATAGTGTTGTAAGACCTCTCAATCTTTTGCTAATAGAGTGTACTTAGCAGTTCTGAAAATTTTATTTTCTCTCACGATCTGAAATTTCTTTTTAAAAACACCTAATTAGTCTATGAAACTGGAGACGGATGCTTAGCAAAATGCTTGTTTTGCCCACTGCCCTGCCACTGGTGGGAGTGCTAGAAGGGTAATTTGAATTATGGACAATCTGTTTAGAGTTGAGCTCTGCATTTACTGCACAGGAGAAATCTCCCAACTCTCTATCTTTCAGGCTGATGGATTAATCTTTACAGCCCAGTGGGGCGATTCAGAGATGCCCGGCTTCGATGTGGTCAGTAGCCATCCTTATCTCCAGCCAAGTGTTTGGTGGCTGAGTCCATGTAAGAGGATAACTATGCAGTAAGATGTCTGTTGGTCTGGATGATGGGGATTGCTGTGTTCCTCCTATGTGGGGGGGGAAGGAAGTCCTTTTAACTACAGTATTAGAAGGCTTTCTTGGAAGAGCTTGGTTTGCACAAGCCCCAACATGTTTGCTTGATGAGGGGCTGCGGTGAGACGACGAATAAGGAACATATGGGAGGATACTCTGTTTGGGCAGGGACAACAAAAGGACAACAAATACTGTGGTGCAGAGGAGGAGAAAACAGATTGTTGAAAAGAAAGTGGAGGAAGCAGAGATGAACATGCCACTAGTTTAGGTCTTAATCTTCATGTGATATAGAGTCTGACCTGCTTAGCTCTCCAGGCATGCTGGCAAGCCTGGCTTACAACACACGGACACCTCTGCAGGGGGTAGCTTGGCTCAGCACTGGTGTTGCCAAGCCCAGTGCCTGGCCTGCCCACGTATGGATGCTCTGTGCTCCTCACGGCTAGTGATTACCAGGTCTCCAGCTGGCTCTGGCGTGCTCACTGCATCCCTGGCACTGTGCTGCGCTGAGGTAACTGAGCTGCTTTGGGACCTGGGGACAGCATAAACATGGCTGCATCTGACTTCATAGACTTTGTTGGGTCTGATGTTAGTCTACCACACTGCCACAGCGAACTCTCTCCCATTGGTGTAGTCTGCCCACCAGCATATGCTGACTAATGGCACGTTAGCATTTTCAGGGAAGAGGGAAAGCTGTGCTGTGAGCCGAGTTTGGGCTTAGAGCTATCCCTTGGCTCCCTGATTTGATCCATCACTGTGACAATTTCGTTGGAGCTTTAGAGGGTGGTTAAGATAGTCTTCCAGCACCGATGTGTTTACTGCAGCAAGCAGGGTGCTGGTTGAAGCACCTGCCGTTCTTTCCACTGTGCTATCGCATGCTGAGCCCGAAGCAAGCTGCTGAATTCAAGCCCCATATTAACTCTTGGAAATTCAGTTCTGAGTTTCAGTTTTACTCTTTGGACCAAATTTTAACTTCAGGAATTTCCCTATAAGCTTGTGGGTACCGGAGAATTGAGATTTGGGTGCCAACAGCAGAACCGCACGTCTGTTGCTTTCCTGCTTGTTTCTGACTCATACCTTCTCCTGGGCCTCTCTCTGCTGCTGTTTTCCTTCTCACTCTTCCCCCATGCAAGTTCACTTCTGCAGGATTTAACTCTTTGTTTTAACCTGAGGCCTCACTAAGGCAAAAATGTTGGCCATTTTAATGAAAGCTTTAGCTAACCAGAAGGACCAGATACAGAAGTGGGTTACCCTGGCTTAATAAGCTTCCAGACATCAGCTGAACTGTGGTAATTGAGTGCACTCCTAGC